AAGAAAATAGGACTCTATCTCTTAAAAGTTGACATGTGAGAGTCAGGAGAGATGGCTCCTATCTGTGATCCCAGCACTCATCAGGCTGAAGCAGGAGGATTGCAGTTTGTTTAAGTCAGCCTGGTCTACACAAAGTTGGCTCACACTTTTAATCCAAGCACTTGGGGGTCAGAGGCAGGCAAATCTCTCTGAGTTCCAGACCAGCCAGTTCTCCGGATTGAGTTCCAGAAAAGCCTGGGCTGTTACACAGAGAAATCCTGTCTCAAAAAACAAACAAGCAAACAAAGAAAAACAAACAAAAATCTATTAATGTAGACAAAGCTATAGAGTAAGACCCTATCAATAAAACAAAAAGCAACACATACGCCAGGCTTGGTGTCATAGTTCTGTAATATCACCATTGAGAGGCTGAGGCATGAGAATTGGCAATCCGGAGCTGCTCTGGGCTACAAAAGAGGAAAAATATAAAGAGGCATAACTGAAGAAAATGAGAGGAGGGGCTAAGATCTCAAGGAAAGACAGGGAAAGAGCAAAAGCCCCCAGAAGTGAAGAAAAGATGAAGATGGAAGCAGAGGAATTGAGGCATTAAATAACCACAAATCCTTAGGGTTCAAGTCCCCACCCTATCCCACAGGCTCCCAAAGGAGACGTCACGGTACTCTAACATTTGAAGAGGACATTACTCACTGGATTATCTTATTATTTTATTTCTTACTGTTTTTTTGTTTGTTTTGTTTTGTTTTGTTTTACAGGATAGGGTTTCTCTGTGGCTTTTTAGGCTGTCCTGGAATTAGCTTTTTTAGACCAGGCTGCTCTTGAACTCACAAAGATCCGCCTGCCTGTGTCTCCCGAGTGCTGGGATTAAAGGCGTGCCCCACCACCACCTGGCCATTTCTTACTCTTATAATAAACTAAATACTACTGTCTGTGAATGTCTGTATGCCTTGGAACTCATGTTAAGGAGAGATAAGTATCAGAAGATGTGTCTCTCCTTCCACCTGTCTTGAGATTCTAGGATCAAACTCGGGTATCAGGTTGGCCAAGAACTTTGATCCCCTTAGCCTTCACATGAACAATGGGATTTTTCTTTGTTAACTTGAGCTTTGCAGTCTTCCTGAGTCACTACATTTTTAGGGTGAACTTTGGCATCCTATGAAGGATGCCATCCTATGAAGGATACTCATCTCTTGCAGGGAGTTCTGTGATGCCAGGACTCAGGTATGAGACCAGAGTTCCTAGTTCATTTGTGGAAAAATGGGGAAAGCACAATGTCCAAAGCTACCTCAGGTAAACCTCTGTTCTTTCTTGCTGCCGCCCTCTCTGAAATAGTTCAACTGCTTGAA